CACTTCCAGTTTGTATGACCTGTGAGTTAAGAATGGTTTTTCCATTTATAAATGTTGGAAAAAAATAGAAAGGCAAATCATATTTTATGACACGTGAAAATCATATAAAATTTAAATTTCCGTGTAGTTGCAACAGAGACCATACGTCCTGCTAAGTCTTAAGTATGTACTTTGCGACTCTTTTCAGAAAAGTTTTGCTGACTCCTGGTTTAAAAGATTGGTGTTCAGTTTATTAAAACAACAAATTCAAAGCCCTCATTTGTTCTCAAGCTTTTAAGAAATCGGTTGGTGCTGGGCGTGGTGGCTCATACCAGTAATCCCAGTACTTTGGGAGGCCAAGACGGGAGGATCACTTAAGCCTAGTCGTTTGATACCAGCCTGGGCACAATGGAAAGATTTTGTCTCTACAAAAAAGTAAAAAAAATAAGCCAGGCATAGTAGTATGTGCCCATAATCCCAGCTACTCAGGACGCTGAAGTGGAAGAATCTCCTGAGTCCAGGAGGTTGAGGTTGCTGTGAACCGTGATCATGCCACTGCATTCACTCCAGCCTGGGCAACAGAGTGAGATTCCAACTCAAAAAAAAAAAAAGAAGAAGGATATCAATTGGTTCCACGCCTTTGAAACTCTCACTGTAAGCAAGATTCAGAACATGATCATTAACCCCAAAAGACTCTCCAAGACCCTCACAGGACCCCTCTACCCCGTGCTGCCAGAGCTGGACAATCACTGATCTCTACTTTCTACCACTATGTATAAACTTTCATTTTCCAGGATTTTGTTTAAATCGAATTGTATGGTAAGTCAGCACTCCTTGTGTCTGGCTGTTTGTACTCAGCGTACTGATTTTGAGATTCATTCACGTTGTGTGCATCAGTAGTTTGTTTCTTTTTATTGTTTTGTGTGTGTGTGTGTGTGTGTGTGTGTGTGTGTGTGTGTGTGTGCGCGCACACACACACACGCGAAGTGATTCAACTTCAATTCAGGGTCTCATTTTCCTACCCTTCCCCACTTCCCCAGTCCCCAGTGTCTATTGTTTCCATTTTTTTATGTCCATGTGTACCCATGGTTTAATTCCCACGTTTAAGTGAGAATATGTGGTATTTGGTTTTCTGTTTCTGAGATATTTCACTTAGGATAATGGCCTCCCGCTCCATCCAAGGTACTGCCAAGGGAAAAGATTTCATTCTTTTTTTATGGCTGTTCAGTGTCCACATTTTCAACTGCTTCATCAATGTCATCATACAGGCTTGTTTCAATCAGAATCCAAACCAGATCTGGGAAATACTGTTGTTCAATATACCTCTTGAGTCTCTGAATGTTTAAGTTTCCTGTCTTAGTCCATTTCTGCAGGTACAACCAAATAGCCGAGACTGGATAATTTATAAATAATAGAAATCTATTTCTCACTGTTCTCGAGGCTGGGAGGTTCCAGGTCAAGGCCCTGGCAGTTTCAGGGTCGGGTGAGGGCCACTCTATCTGCTTTTAAGTTGGTGTCTTGTTGCTGTGTCCTCCTGGGACAGGTGGAGGAAGGGCAAAAAGGGAGGAACATTCATTCTCTCCAGTCCTTTTATGAGGTTGCTGATCACATATATGAGGACTCTGCCTCATGACTTAGTCACCATCTAAAGGTCCTACTTCTTCTTTTATTTATTTTATTTTATTTCATTTCATTTTTACTTTTTAAAAAGTTTTAAAGACAGGGGTGCAATTCAGGGTTAGGTATATAAGCGGTCATCGTACAGGTAAAGTTTGGGCCTCCCTTTGGTCCCCACTTTGCCGGACTCCCAAGTACCTGATCCCAGGTACCCTGATTGATGTTGTGTCACACCCCTCCCAGGCCTATTTTATAATTGTTAGGTCACAACCCCAGCAGGGCCTCCAAAATGTCAAGTCAGACCAGGTGGTATATGATCCAGTGCCATGAAGGATGCAAATAATTGCACAGAAATAGATTGGAAAATATAGTTTATTTAGAAAGGAAATTAGAGAGAGAGAGAGACAGGAGAGTCACTTTCCCAATGTAGGAGAGGTGGCCCAAAGCTTAGAAAACATCGCAGCTCAAAGAGCACATAGCCTGGTCAATGTTTAACAAAACAATGGCGACCACAGTTTGAAGTCGAATGCCTTTTAAAACTTCCCCTTGACGGGGCAGATTGTTAAGGTGATTGGGTGGTGGTCTGCTCCACATCTTCACGAAGGGGACAGGCAAGCACAGGTACTGACATCAGGCAGATGGGTGGGTTAGTCACATGATTGCTACCATGTTGATAGAGTCTGTGTCATGAAGGTCACCAGGGCTGATTAGGTTAACTTGTTTCCAAAACAAGCTGGGGAGGGGGTTGTAAAGCAATTATCTATAGTTACTCTGAGAAACCGGTTCTGTCCTTGGCTAGTGATTAGAAGGTAAATTAAAGTGAACTGCTAGAAAAAACATGACATCTATTCAATGTTAAAATGGCTGCTCATTGGGTATACGGACTCCATCTTATGTCCTTTCATTAATAGTGTCATCACCTTGGCAATTCAGCTTCCACATATGCATTTTGGAGGAGGCACAAATATTCAAACCAGAGCAACCCCCCTTTGGCTCTCTTGCCTTATTATTATTATTTTTTTTTCTCTCGTACTTTATTTGTTGAAGAAAGAAGATAGCTTGTTCTATCCGGTTTCCCACAGTCAGGGTTTTGCTGGTTGTGACCCTGGTGGCACGTCACCTGTCACTGTCCTCTTTAATTCGTAAAAACGGATTGTTGGATAGAAAGTAATAAAGGCTTTAATTCAAGAATCATGTTCTTATTTATTCAAGTTCTGCTTCCACATTTTATTATAAAGTCTAATACATTTTGGCAATAATTTTTAAAGGGCTTGAGCTATGTTTGTTTCAATGTATAAAGGCAGTTAATTAAACACTCTCCAATATACTATATGACTGGGGTTGAGAAGTTACAGCCTGCGGGCCCACCACCTGTTTTTGTGAATAAAGTTTTGTTGGAACACAGTCATGGCTATTCATTTATATAATTATTGTTGGTGACCAATTTCTCAATAAAGTGGCAGAATGAAGGAGTTATAACAGTTACACTCTGGCCCAGAAAGCCTAAAATATTTACTATGTGGCCCTTTAAGAAAAAGTTTGCTGACCTCTGCCCAGCTTTTACATATTTCATATAAATTTACAACCTCTCTTAGATGTCTTGAAACTGCCTAAACTTCATTAAGATTTCAACTTAAAACCAGAAGTCTCTCTCAGTTACTCAATCACACCCTTTAAATTGTTCTTATTCGGGGGATCTCCTAAACCAAATTCTCTTACACATTTGTAAGTGCACAAAATGTCTAATATACCCAGATTCCTTCTTATTACAAAAATATCATTTCTATGGTTTTGCATTCTTAAACCTTTCATATTAATTCTTATTTTTCTGGCGGGGACAGATATGAAGCACTGGGAAGACTGTTTCCAACCCAGTTACCTGACATGATCTGCTAAGAAAGGCAAATGCTTTCCCAATTGAGGTAACTTGAAGTCAGAGATTTTGGCAGGACCTGCGACTTAAAATTGCAGGTGTGCGGGGAATTGCTGCCCTACAGTTACACTAAGTCCCTTCTTGCATGGCGGGGACTTCAAAGCTTTAAGCATGCTGATTTTGGAATCGCAGGACCTAATTCTCACGTGTCTGCAGCCTTTACAAGAGTCTATCCATCCCTTGATAAACAATTAGATTTCTCTGGTTTCTAATGTATTTCCTGCCTAGTGCTAAAGATCTTTAACTCCCTGGGATCCAAAGAAATATATCTTCATTAATCTATGTATTTTCACTTGCAAATGCTTCAGTATGTGTCTCTAATATAAAGAACTTTAAAAAGTAATCTCAGTGCCATTTGTACATTAGTACATCTAACAGAATTCACAGGAATTACTCGATATCATGTAATAAATACTGTCTACATTATTATGTCTCCGTCTTAAAAAGGTCTTTGTAAAATATGGCCAATCAGAATCATAATAAAGTCATATATTGCATTTGGTTGCTGTGTTTCTAAGATCTTTTATTTTATAGTTTAATGGAAAAAGTCAATCAAATTTAGCAGTGGGGGATTGTATACCATTAGTGACACTGATGTTAATAAGTTCTGATAACCCACTACTATCAGACCAGTCTTTATGATCTTTTTGTTTACTGCCTTGCAATCTCCCATGCTCTTAAATCTGTTGATTTGTTGAAGAAACTCGGTTGTTCATTTTCTCTAATCTCCCACATTTTGGATTAGGTTGATTGCTTCTAGGTGGCATAAATCTTTTAAGTTGTTCCTTTATCTACTGTATTTCTGGTAGCAGGCTTGATTAGATTCAGATTTTTTTTTTCCAAAAATACTTTAATGGCAGGTAAGTGTACTATTTTCTAACTATCGAAGATCTTCTAGCTTGATGGGACCTTGCATTTTTTCCGTATTCCTAGGGTATTTAAAAAGGCAACCCGATTGAAGTTTGTGTATTTCACGTGGCTTGGAGTCCAACTTGCCGTAACACATAGTAGTCAGACTCAGTGCTAAGCAACTTATAAATATGTGCATTTAATTTTCTCAACATTTTGCAGATAAGGAAACTAAAGTTTGGAGCGTTGGATTAATTTGACCCAATCAGTAAGGGATGGTGGGAGTTCACGGGTCGAATTAGGGGTAGAATCGGAATCTCAATTTCCTAGTATCTTCCTGCTCTGAAAAACTCAGGCTCCGGGTTTCTGTATTTTCGGTTCTTGCAGAGTACCAATCACCGGGAAGCCGCCCCGCCCCGCCCCGCCCCGCCCCGCCCCGCCCGGCCCCGCCCCGACACGCCCCGCCCCGGCCACGCCCCTCTTGGCCTGTCTCTAGTAGGTCGGGTGTCAAGCCCGGCAAGCGCTAGGAAAACCACACTTCCCAGACTGC